TCCCATGGACAGAGGAGTAACTGAAGGTGTACAGTGGCGGAACTGAGGTTCAAATCCACGTCTTCTAGCTCCGAATCCTAGGCTTTGGATTCAGACACACTGCTCAATTCCTAGCTTGCTCATTTAATAGCTGTTTAACTTTGGGCAGGCTGCTTAACCTCTCTTTGTTTCAGTCACTTCATGTGAAAATAGAGATAATCATTGCATGTACTTACAAAAGAGTAAATGAAAGCTTAACATGTAGTAACACTAGACGAACACCAGGAACTATTATTATTGCTAACATAGTAGAAACAACACAATCATATAGAAAAACAATAGCGATTACTACATAAAAGTAGCAATTTTTAAAATAAACTGAGTATGTGTGTATGAATGTATATATTTTACACATGGATACAATTATTTGCCTTTGGAAAAAAAGTCACTGTTAGTATCAACCGTATGTCACAGGCATAGTCTATATTTTATGTGAAGATATTCTATTCAATGACAGCTCTCTATGTATTACTGTAAACGTGAAAATTTCTGTAAGTTTCTTGTGTTACGCTAAGCACTTACTTTTAAAGGCTTCCTGACACAGCCAGGAATCACGCAATGCTCCCGACAATGCAGACTGCCTGGTAACACTGCATCTTAATTTAAGTACACTCCGTGAGGTTCCCACAAGCACAAAGCCATCGAAGAGCACACTTCTCAGGACATGTCCCCTTCACTGAGTGAAATAGGCAGAAGGCTGGGGACATGGATCAGTGCCAGGATTCACTGGCACACGTGAAGCCCTGGGTTCAATGCCCAGCACAGAAGAATACATATGTACACACAGATGGTAACACACAAGGAAATAACCAGGGCAAGCAGCACGGCCTGTGGGGTAAAAGCACTTGGCACACAAGCCTGTTTGACTCCCCAGGGTCCATGGTGGAAGAAGAGAACTAACTCCCACATATACAGCTGTGTGAGCAGACACAGACAGACAGACACACACACACACACACACACACACACACCATACTCATAAATATATACATACTCATAAAAATAATAGGTAAAATTTAATTTAAAAAAAAGTAACTAAACTCATTTTCTATTTAAAACAAGAAATTAGGACTATGACCCTGCCCCCTCCTGTTGAATAGGATTAATGTCAGGTAAGAAGCATTACCTTGTGCTATTTTGTTTAGATGCCCTTTATAAAATGTCTACACAGGCCGGGCAGTGGTGGTGCATGCCTTTAATCCCAGCACTCGGGAAGCAGAGGCAGGCGGTTCTCTGTGAGTTTGAGGCCAGCCTGGGCTAACAAGTGAGTTCCAGGAAAGGCGCAAAGCTACACAGAGAAACCCTGTCTCGAAAAACCAAAAAAAAAAAAGTCTACACAAATAATGAATGTAGCAAAAAATTCCAACAAAGACCCCTCTCTACACTAACTGTTAAATGGTAATATAATCAATCAAAAAGCAACTATATTCCTACATCAATTTTTTTTTGGGGGGGTAGTTTTTTTAAGACACGGTTTCTCTGTAGCTTTGAAGCCTGTCCTGGAACTCACTCTATATACCACGCTGGCCTCAAACTCACAGAGATCCACCTGTCTCTGCCTCCCAAGTGCTGGGATTAAAGGTGTGCACCACCGCCACCCGGCTTCTACATCAAATTTTTAAGGTAATTGCAATTCCAAAATTACCTTAGTAGGAATAGTTTTATTAATTTTTCTTCTTTAGTGGAGTTATGGACCACTGTACTCAAAGCTAGTGACATTGGTTCTAAACCATAAAAGACATCCCTTAACTTAAAAAGAAAATACCTTGGATGGGCGTCTGTAAGGTGCATGAAGATCCACACCACACAATCTGAAGATACATCTTGGACAGGTACCAGAACTAAACAACAGCTGGGCCACATGCTTGTTTTCCTCACTCAGTGGAAACATACTGAATAATTATAACTAGAAAAAAGAAAAACAAAATGAACAGTTTCAGGATTTTACTGCTACATACAAATATGCCCTTAAGAAAAACCAGCTTTCATTGGAAAAACTGTTTTACACTTTTCAACAATGCTTGTTGCATCTATATTCTAAAATATGAACTTGACTATGTGAGTATGTGAGTTATAGGGAAGATGAACAAAGAAAGTCAAGCTCATTCTGGACATGACAGTAAGAACTTTCAGACACCAGGCCTGGGACCACTCAGGATTGCCTGTGTAAACCTTTCAAGAGAGTGCTTAAAATATGAGAACATACTCTATTAAAAAAGAAACTCTGTGTGGTCAAGGAGTTACTTCAGTATCTGAATCCCTTCCACCAGCTCACTTAACCTGCTAGTTTAATGTCAAGTAAAGATTCTGTGAGGAGCTAAAAATAATTATGTAAAATGCACTTGTAGTTTCAGTACACAAGAGGCCAAGGCAAGTGGATCACCATGAATTCAGGACCACCCTGGGCTTGATAGGGAGTCAAAGCCAGTCTGGGCTATGGAGTGAGACTCTGGAAAGGAAGGAAGGAAGAGAGGGGGAGGGACAATTCCCTAACAGAGAAATGCTACGGAATAATCCTTCTGTACACTGTGAGGATGTGTTGCTTACATTGTTAATAAAAAGCTGATTGGCCAATGGCTATGCAGGATTTTCGGTGCAGAGAGAATGCTGGGGAGAAAAAGGGTGGAGTTGGAGGAGGTGCCATGAGACCACAGAACAAGCAAGATGGGAAGTACTTACATGAGGTAAAGGAGACTTGGGGCAGCACACAGATTAATAAAAATAGGTTAATTTAAGTTATAAACACTAGCTAAAAACCAAGCCTAAGCTAACAGCCGAGCATTTATAATTAATAATAAGTCTCTGTGTGGTTATTTGGGAGAGAGCTGGCCAGACAGAAAAACTTTAGTGTTAGTTAACATCAAACATTTGATTCAATACAGAATTAACCTTTAATTCAAAAGAGAAACGAATACACCTTTTTCTAAAAAAACAAATCAATAAGCTCTTTTAAATGACACTTCACTTTGGTGGTATTGTGTTCCCCCAAATATTGTGCACCCTAATAAACTTATCTGGGGTCAAAGACAGAACAGCTACTAGATACAAAGGCTAGAAAATGGTGGCACTCACACCTTTAATCCCAGCACTCCAGAGGTAGAAATCCCTCTGGATCTCTGTGAGTTCAAGGCCACATTGGAAACAGCCAGGCATGGTGACACACGCCTTTAATCCCAGGGAGTGGTGGTAGAAAGCAGAAAGGTATATAAGGCGTGAGGACCAGAAACTAGAAGCATTTGGCTGGTTAAGCATTTGGCTGGTTAAGCATTTGGCTGGTTAAGCGTTCAGGCTTTCGAGCAGCAATTCAGCTGAGAGTCATTCTGGATGAGGACTCAGAGGCTTCCAGGCTGAGGAAACAAGACCAGCTGAGAAGTTGACCAGGTGAGGTTAGCTGTGGCTTGTTCTGTCTCTCTGACCATCCAGTGTTCACCCCAATAACTGGCCCCGGGTTTGATTTTTATTAATAAGAACTTTTAAGATTCATGCTACACTTCACAGTGAAACCTTACCTCTGGACCTAGTTAACAATGTTCAAATTTAGGCTCTTTGTTTTGGCTTAAAAACTGAATGCTATTTCTCCATAGTTCACTAGAATAAAGGTGTCGTGCAAAGCCAATAAATAACAATCACAATCTCCAGGCTCTGAAAAGTTCCCAGACCTGTTGAGAATTGCCAAACCTCCTGTCCTGAGTGATTTGATAAAGTCTCAAACAAGCAAAACCCTCGTGAGTGTGTTAATAATCAAAGTATAGGAGCTGTGTAAAAGGGCTCAGTACCATTCTCACCGAGCAATACTCCAGTGACTCCTCAAGCACGTTAACATTAAAAGGACATACACCTTGAAGACGGTTATTTCATCTCCATGTGATAAAATGGTAGGATTTTGTAAAAAGAAATGAGTTGTGACCTTGGAAAACAAGCCCTGAGAAATACCTCTCACACTAAGTTTTTCAACGTGGATCTCCGCTGTTAAGACTTTTGCTGTTTGTTTCTTTTACAGAAAGAACTCGAAAGTTGCAACAGAAGCCCCTCCCAGGTATCAGAATGTCTACAGGGATTGACTTCCTTTCTCCACAGGGCACGTTAACTAGCCCAGCCTCATCAAATGGAGAGGAAAGACTAATTTTTGTTTTTACAATTACAAAATAATAATAATAATAATAATCGAAAAAGGGAAGAAAGAATAAAGCACATGGAGGAAAAAAAAACCCTGAAATAGCCTGCGTTTCCCCCATAAGATCTGTGTAACTGCATGACCACATGCACAGGCGCGGTTCCTCCCGGGACACAGGGAGGAGAGGCATGGGAAACGCTCACAGCCCTTAACTCTCTTTGCTAAGGTCCGAGAAACTTCCCACTCACTCCACCTGGCTAACAAACAAAAAGGACTCCAGCCACACCTTTTTGGCACCCAGTCCCTAACCCCTCACCTCATACCTCCTCGGCCTTACCTTCTCCCAAGAGATTGGAGCCAAGATTTAAACCCTTTGGGCCGTGGGTGGACCGGGGAAGACTAAAGACAGAGCACCTGCTGCGCTAACAGTTCTGTTCCCCAAGGAAACGAGAGCTTTAGAACGAAAGTACCAGGCCTTTCTCGAACGGACTGCGTGAACGCCCCCTCTTGTCTACAGGGCGATCTGTAAGGCTGGCGGGCTTGCAGTCTTGGCCTCAGGCTAGCTCCGCGAACGCAGACAGCAAGGGGTTTCACTGCTAGCCCAGGGGTCCACCCGCAAAGAAGCCTCCGTGGGACTCGGCATCTAGGGCGTATTAGCTGCTGCCAGAAATGTCGATGAGCCCCTACTCAAATTTGAAACCCAAACCGGGGAAAATAAAAAAGGAACGTTCCGTCCCCGTCCCCTCCCCCGAACCCCAGGGATTAGATGCCCCCTTCCTCCCTCGCACCTCAGCTTAAGCGGACCACAATCCTTGGCCTGACGTCAGGCGTGGGCGGGGTGGAGGGCTCGGCGCTCTTCCCGTCGCGCCTGGCAAACGAGGCGAGCCTTCACACAGCCGGCGCAGTCGCGGCCCTGAGCAGGCGAAGCGGACGGAGCAGGCGGAGAGATGGCGTCCCAGCCGCCGCCGCCCCCGAAACCCTGGGAGACCCGCCGCATTCCCGGGGCCGGCTCCGGCCCGGGGCCAGGCCCCGGCCCCACTTTCCAGTGAGTGCGAAACCTTTGGGAGGCGAGTTTTGCGGCCGGAGCGGGGGCCTGGCAGCAGGCGGTTGAAGCCGTTATGGGGGGAGGCATCGCCGGCCCGCCGCCGGCCCCGGGCGAGCGCCGAGCGGCTCTCCGAGGCTGACATCTGCTGGCTGTGCAGCCGCCGCGAGGTCTCCCCGGGGGCGCCCTGCGGGCTTCACGGGTGCCGGTGCTTGAAAGAAAAGCGGCGGCTTTTTATTTGCGGGACATTGGGGGGCGCGACAGCCTGACCGGCTCCAAAGCTTCGAGCTTGGGTCTGTGGCCGAGCGCGACGTCGGCCCTGCCTGGACGAGGATTGGGAGCAAAAGTCATTGGAAAAGCTGTTTACAGCCTCTCCAGAACTTGGTTGAACGCCCCAAAGGTCACTTTTACGCAACCTAGAACCCAAGCTTATACCCTTGGCCTTCTTATCCAGCGTAACTCGGTTAACGTTTCGGGTTGAAAGAACAACTCTAAAACAGGAATTCTACATCTGCGGGTGGCCTTTGTGTGCCAAATTGTGCGTGCGTGTGCGTGTGTCTGTCTGTCTGTCTACGGCCTGTAAAGTTTTTATATGCTGTGATTTGAATCAGTAACAGATGCGTCGGCAACTTTTAAAGGTTTACAACAGAATTAGAATTTCACGAACCTATGTTTTCTTTTGCATAGATAGACATCTTAATCCAGGCGACGTGATTCCAGGGCCCATTTGTATGTTTTTTTCTGACATGTCAAAATCTCAATATATTGGAGCTCTTCTCTGCTGTTGGGGAATCTGGTGATCTTTTAAAAATTGCGTGTGGGAGCCCATTGTTAGGTTTCCTAGTGGCTTTACCCAGCAGGTCCACATAGAGAGCATAATTGGACCACTGGGCCTGGGTGCAGGTGTCTGAGATCTGCACTTGGCTGTGCTGGGGGGAGGGGGGTGTCCTTTGCTCCACCCCTTGGCATTCCTTTAAATACCCTAGGGCAGAGCCAGTCAGGCCCTCTCGAGGCTGTCCTGTATTTTCCGTTCCCCGCCCCACCTCTATCCTTCTAACTAATATTTTCTGCTGGTCCTACTCAAGAGTACTCTGGGGAAATGTGGGGATGGTGGGTACCCCACCCCCAACAAGTGCGTAAACACTTGGACACAGTAACTAATAGATTCAAATAAAGTGGCAAACTGTATGTATTTATTAAGCCAGAGCAACACTTGTATTGGTACTTTCATTAGAGTGCGTCTAAGTGTGTTCTTTTGCCTTAGATAGCTATCCTGTCAAATGCCTATCACCTAAGATAGGAGTTTGGGGTTTTTTGTTTGGGGTGTGTGTGTGTGTGTATGTGTGTGTGTGTGTGTGTGTGTGTGTAAAGCAGTAAATTTTATGATTGTCTTTTCTGTATCTACTTACTTTTACTTTCAGTATGCAAATACGGGTTATTCCAATAATGTTGAACTTACCTTGCATTTTTAAGTGAATCTGCCTAGCTTTCTTTTTTTTTTAATGTACTGCCCTGAATTCTGTATTATTTTAAGGTCTTTATTTATATTCCTATGTGAAATTGAATTTAAAGATTATGCTTTTTGTCTTTATATCTGTTTTATAACTTGAGAAAATTTTACATTGAAAAAAATTCATTGAAAACTTTCCATTTTATTCCTTTATAGGTAGATGGTTTTCTCTTTAAGGTTTTATATGCCTAGACCCTCTTTAACATAATTATATGCATATATCTGTATTTTTTCCATCCATGTCAGTAGCTACAGTATTCAGTAGCCAGAGTGTTTAAGAGTTCATTCATTCAATTTCTTCCTTCTAGCTCTCTTCCCAGACAAGTGTCTTGCTTATGGAGCCCAGGCAGGCCTTGGATCCCAGTGGGCTTCCTCCTAAGCTTCCCAAGTGTTGGGACTTACAATCACCTTGTATTGCTTGAACACTATCCCAGCTATTAAACCAGTGGTTCTCAACCTTCCTAATGCTCTGACCGTTTAATATGGTTCCTTATGTTGTGGTGACCTCCAAGTATAAAGTTATTTTCATTACTACTTCATAAATATAATTTTGCTGCTGTTAGAAATCATAAATATTTTTTGGGAAAGGGGTCATGGCCCACAGGTTGAGAACCTCTGCATTAAACATTGTATCAGAATATTTCTCATACAAGAAGCATTATCTTTCTTTTTAATTTTTCCTTTGAGGCAGGGTTTCTCTGTGTAGCCCTGGCTGTCCTGGAACTTGCATTGTAGACCAGAGTGGCCTCGAACTCTTTGAGAGCCTCTGCCTCTCATGCTGCGATTAAGGGTGGGCGCCACCACCAGGCTTTTAATGTGCCTTGAACTGTAAAAATGCCTACTCTCTGGTTAGCAAGAAATCTGGAGATCACCTGTCTTAACATCAGGAGACCTCCTTTTTTCCTGGCTTTTTGTTTTCTGTTAGTTCTTTTTGATCATTTCAATCATCCTTGACTTATTCTTGCCTAAGCATATGTCCCCTGCTGTCTGCGTGCACTAGTTTTCTGATTGTTTTCAGCAATAAACTGTTTCAGGCCTCTGTATGGTTGTCTTTGTATTATTCTGGGTTGGAGTCCTAGGAATACTTAGGTCTGACTTAATGAATTTAAGAAAAATTTCAGCCATTTTTTTTCTTAGAATATTGCTTCTGCTTGCCTTCCCCCGCCCCCCACCCCGCCTGATTTTTTTTGAGACAAGGTTTCTCTGTGTAACCACTGTGGCTACCCTGGAACTTGCTCTGTAGACCAGGCTGGCCTTGAACTCACAGAGTGCCACCACACCTGGCTTTGTTGTTCCTTTATATACTCCCTTTTTATTTTTATTTTTTATGTTTTTATCTTTTTGAGACGGTCTTAATAAATTGCCTAGGCTGACTTCAAACTCAAGATCCTCTTGCCTCAGCCTCCCAAGTACTGGATTATATGTGTGTCTGTGTGTGTGTGTGTGTGTGTGTGTGTGTGTGTGTGTGTGTGTGTGTGTGTGTGTCTAGAGGCCAGAGGTCAACCTCAGGAGTCTTCCTCTATGACTCTCCACCTTATTTTTTGAGACAGGGACTCTCACTGAACCTGGAGCTAGTCCATTAGGCTAGACTGCTGGCCCAGAAGAGCCTGGGAACCTCCTGTTTTCCCATCTCTGGGATTACAGGAACCTAAGTGCTAAAGATCCAAACTGCGGTCCTCATGCTTACACAGCAAGGACTTCCCACTCAGCCATCTCCCCAGCCCTCGGCCTTTATTTCCTATATATCCTGTATCCTGTTAAACCAGTCATAGAGTTTATAGATTGAAAGGTTTGGGGGTTGTTTATGATTTCTTTTGGGTCCGACTTTATGTCTTCTATGATTTGCTGAGAAATCCTCATCTTTTTTTGTTTTTAATATACTAAGCATAGCCGGGCAGTGGTGGCGCACACCTTTAATCCCAGCACTCGGGAGGTAGAGGCAGGTGGATCTTTGTGAGTTCGAGGCCAGCCTGGTCTACAAAGCGAAATCCAGGAAAAGGCGCAAAGCTACACAGAGAAACCCTGTCTCAAAAAACCAAAAAAAAATATATATATATATATATATATATATATATATATATATATATATATATATATATATACACACACACTAAGCATAGTTTAAAATTTTCATTTTCTGGATTTCCCTATAGATGTGGAATTCTTTGTATTGTCTTAGGTTGCTTTTCTAAAATATATATAATTTTGTCATCATACTGGCCCATTATTTTTTAAATGGGAGCTGAACCTTACATACAGGTATTAAGATGATTTGAGACCTAGGAACTGTATCTTCCTCCAGAGACTTATTTCTGACAAATTGTCAGGGTTGCAGTAGCAATCTAGGGTTGCTTCATCCAATCAAGGATGGAGCTGATTTGAAGAGTGGTGTTTAGACCAAGGCTGGTTTATTTCCTCTCAATCTTTTTCCTTTAAGGCCCCAGTCTGAGCTGTGATGTTTTACCCCTCCTGCTTAGGTCTCTGAACACCAGTTTGTATCCTTTAGTCCATGTCTTAAGCAGCACTAACCAGTTTCCATCACATCTCTTCCTGGATTAGCAGCCAGCCCTAGAGAAAACCTGAAAATGTTAAACTCTGACTTTGTTTTTCTTCTTAGATCTTGACTTTAAAATTCTCAGTATCTTATTCTCTAATATATTTATATTATAAATATAAAAATATTTAAGCAAATATATTTTTCATTTGTGACCCTCTTCAACCGACTTTTCTAGTTAGTTGCTTCTAATTAAGTCTGATTACACAGTCTACCCTTAGCTACAGTTCTCAGGTCTTCCTCTCCCCTCAATTTACAACAACTGGTCTTCTTCTTGTGTTTACTTACAAGGCATTCTGTAAAGCTGTGGCATCATGTCTAAGATTCCCAATACATTTCTTCACATTTACATGGTTTTTATTTCATCGGTTTGCTTTGGTTTTTTTTGAGACAAGGTTCTTCCTTGGCAGACCTGGAACTTGCTGTGAAGACTGGCCTCAGACTCAGAGATGCATCAGTCTCTGCCTCCCGAGTGCTGATATCAAAGGTGTGCACCGCCGTGCCCAGCTCATCTGACTTTTTAAAAATAGATAGTACTGTTGTGTCACTGATTGTCTTAAATATCTAGAATCTTTGCTTTGAGCTGTTAAATTGTTTTTTCCTTTAACTTTATTTTCATTACTGATTTTTGTTAACCTGGTATCTTAGTTTTTCTTTTGTTTTCTTTTTTTACTTCATGTTTATGACATCTCTAAAATAGGAATTTTAGAATTCCTTTCTTCCACATGTTTTCTCTCTCTCTGCAGAGTAGTTTTCCTGCTTCTACCTGTGTGCACCTCTGGCACCCAGTTCCCATAAGAACCGGGTGTAAAAACAGTGGACTAGACATTACACACTGACTGTGAAGTTACTTTGCTTCCTGGGCTTCTTTGTGTTTATTTCTGACATTTTCTTACATAGAAACAGTACATCTGATAGTCTGCACCTCCCGCTCCCCCC